ATTAGAGGTGAGGTGAGCTAATCATAGACTGAAGACCCAGGTAAACAATTAATTAATCTTTTCTGTTTCTTATAGCATTATAGTTTTGTATTGTTTGTAGTGTGATCAACGTTTGCGTAAGTAGTAGACGTGGTAGGGAAGTAACCCGTAACATTTTAATTATATTTTGCTAAAATGAACGAAATGACTCGGAAAAAAAGATTCGTTCATTTTGCTGAACGAGACTCAAAGGTCCGAGTCGGTAAAATGATCCGAACTTCCCATCACTAGTCCACAGATAACAGTGTCTCACAAAGTGATTAAATAATGAAATGTGGGACAGATTTAAATTACATAGGATTATTACCCTTAAAGTACTCTCGCAGTACCATGGTAAAATTCTGTTAACATAAAATAAATATAAAAGCAAGGATTACTTGAAAGCTGTTTTTAGCATGATACATGAAGAAAACCACGATACATGTCCAATACCATGGTACTTTTTATTATTGTAGACTACACATGATGGGAGGCAAATGTGATCTGAAGCCTGTGCTGACAACAGTGAGTGCCAAATAACCCAAGATAAAACACATTCACGTTGAATCCTGTAACAAACAAAGGTCTGTGAGATGTGACTGATGTACAGCAACCTGTTACACAGGTTGCACAAAGCCTTCCCTCTCACCTCTGCAGCAGAGACGAAGGAATCTGTTGAGGCGATGCTGATTGAATCTCTCAGACAGGTGTCCTCCAAGTCCTCCCGCACGGAGAGATCCATGTGCTTGTCTGCACAAATGAGGGAAGATTAGACTGAAGTGCCCTTATCTCACATGGGTGAGCGAACTGGTCGAATTCCAAAACCGCAGACTGCATAAACCGATTCAGGACAAATGTGTTTATGGGGTTTGCATGTGGAAGGGTGTGAATCGAGTGCCATGTGCTCTTGGGAGTGGGTAAGAGATAGACCCGTAAACAGTTGTAAGGAAAGAACGTTGGACCATGACCAGCTTCTTTATTTAGATGCAGAAAATGAGCTGAGCCTCAGTAATGCGCAGCTGCATGAAACAACGTGCAACGTTGCACATCTACTGTGTCTAGGCCTGTCACGATAACAACTTTTTGCTGTGCGATATATTTCCCCAGAAATAACTGCGATAAGCGATATTATTGTCATTTTAAAGACCATTTTATGCCACTGAATATATAATCATAATGTAACGGCATAATAATGCAAGAAGGCCTACACACTTCCAAATGACAACAAATGTTTAATTTGATGTACATATATTGCGCGATAAGTCGATATATTGATTATTGCGACAGGCCTAACTGTCCGGTTCTTTGTTCGATTTAGAACTTAAAAGGCATAGTTCACTCAAAAACGAAAATTTTGTAATCATTTATTCACCCTCACGTTGTTTCAAACCAAGACTGGAAATGCAGTATGTTTTTCTTCAGTTTATTCAGTGCATTTACAGTTTTTTTTCCCCCCTTACACAAGCAGGCTTCTAATGTTCTTGCGGTCTCCAGTGGTCTGTTGTTCATTTTCATGTTTATTTTTTGACTGGGAAAAAAATGGACCGGGCTAGTGTTGCCAAAAATTCAAGGTGCATGTGCGAGCTGATTGTAAATGCAGTTAGAAAAATTTGGCTGTGCACGTAGTATGCTGACAATGAAATTTGCTTCATGCACACTGATGGCTAGATATAGATGGCTAATTTAGTGCCACAATCAGTTGCTGTTGCTATTTGTTATTATAAGAAATCTTTGGGACACTTCAGTCTCTTATCTGTATTTTTTTTTCTTCTGTGCAATTCATAATTCATTCTTGGCAAGTGTAGCGAATCAGCTCATGGGGAAATATGAATAATTAATCATAACTAGTTATAATTAAGGATAACTGATTTGTTAAATCAAATGAAACATTGTGTGTTTGATTGGTCCAGACGCTACACAAGTATAAAATCTGCCTACAAACTTTAAACAGACATAGTTTTTAGATTATTATTATTATTTTTACATATGAACCCAGTAGAAATTATGGTTTAAATAATAAAAAATACACATCAATTGAACAACAAAAGTTGCACCGTTTATGCAATGCATCAGCCTGTACTTTGTAAGTCAATTTTTAGAGTACAGTTACAGTTCACAGAGCCAAGCCCAGTGATAACTATTACATAAGACCATTCATTCACTTCCACTCATCTATTGATGTAACACAACTGTCTTTAGTTTAACGCTCACCGCTAGTAGGATGTGTTGAAAGGTCTGTCATTCCCAGCGCTCCCTCAAACTCCTCCTGAAGCCGATAGGCTCTCTGTAGCAGGGACTCCAGCTTTCGAATGAAATCTACACTGATGATGTCCTAATAAAGAATAAAACGTATCATTAGAACTCTTTATTTTAAGAGCATGGAGACTCATCTTAGAAAACATGGCTAAGTAAAGTGGGCCCACACATTAACATTCTGTTTACATTTAACGGTATTATTAAAATATTAGTGTTTTTAAAGATATAAAAATATAGGTGAGCATTAGTGGCAAATGCACCCTAATTGTAAAACTAAGGAAAATGAGCATGAACAATTAAATATCCAATATCGACCAATACCAATAAATTTAAAATATGAGGTATGAGGGCAAAAAAATGCCCTGTATGGGTTTTTGCCTTCTATTTATATCATATGATATGGCTTATGAATATCACACGAGCAAGAGAGTTATTTTTTCCCCAAATATCTGCATGATTGCAAATGTGATATTGATTTTTTACAACAGTTCAATAACAATAACAAGTTAACTTGTATTAAATTTTAGACACAGTATTCTGTTTTGCTCATGTTCTCCAACAAAAATAGCTCCAAACAAAGCCACAGCAGAGCGGTTGTACCTTTCCAAGCAACACACAGCAGCGGTTTGTTACTGAATGAATATAAGGTCAAGAGAGCCAATGATTCAGTGACCCAATGTAAAGACAGACACTTGCTTCGTTTCTGAATGAATCACCTGGAATCGGTTGAGTGAATGACTCAATCATTAAGACAGTGACTTGCTGCCACCTACTGGCGGTTTTAGTTTCATATTTAGAATTTTTTTTTTTCATATTTCAATATTCATTAAAAAAAACATTAATACCCATTATTTAAATTTAAACATCATTTAAAAACATTAATATTATTTATTAGGGCTGGGTAAAAAAATATTGATATCTCGATATTAATCAATTCTCATTTTTATGGAACGATATCGATTCCTAAATCCCAAGAATCGATTAGTCTAGCCTGTTTTCAGTTAATGGACGGAACATTGAAGGGTACTTCACATCCAATAAATCGCAATAAGCACTGTGCTTTGGTACTTTTCATATGAAACAGTCTCAGATTTAAAATTCTGTCCATTGTATTGAAGTATTTAAACAATAAATGCCGTTTTGGCACTGTTTAATGTGGAGTGACAGATCACTGTAGCGCCTCAGTTCAACAGACGCACGTGAACTAATCATCTCCTCCACATTAACACCAGATTCAGCACAGAATTAACATGACTAAATATCCGAAGGTAAGTAAGTAAAAAAAAAAAAAAAAAACTTTACAATCCGTATCCTGGCTCATGTAATCGTTCAATCTGTGTTTCAGCCGCGCAAAGACGCCAATATAACGGCTTGTAAACAATATGTCACGTAACGTCACATTTACCTCAGAGAAAACCTATTCGGTGACCATAAACTCATTAGTCAGATAAAAAAAAGAAACTGTATAGAGGGGCATATATGCACCATATAACATATTCATTATAATTTTTACTGTTCTTCCTTGTTTAATTTATGTTTGAATAAATCAAAGTTTTTATGACAGCCACCATTTAAATGTTTATATTTAAAAAAAAACGAATTGAAGTAGAAATATAAATATGTAACAGTAGCTTTATTATTGTAAAAACTTCATTAATTTTAGCCTTCATATTATAGTAATGTTGTACCAACTGACTCTCGTATATTTTACAGCACTAGTTGAGATTTTTTTTTTCCTTGAGAAAATTTGGCATGTGTTACTGTACCTGATATATATCCAAAATAATCGATATTGAATCGAATCGGTAATCGAATCGAAAGCTTGTGAATGAGAATCGAATCGAATCGTGAAATTTGTGTCAAAACCCAGCCCTATTATTTATGCAATGTTGAATTAAAATATTTATTTCTAAAGCTACTTTTTGTAATGTCCATTCAATGCTTTTCTCATCTAACACAAAAAAAAATATTTAAATGATCAATTTCTCAGCCAAACCTTATGTGTGATTTATTTGTGATTAATTTAATTAATTGGCACATCATATAATTAATTGGATTAAACATTTAAATCGCTTGACAGCCCTAGTTATCATATTATATTCATTTATTATCGTAACCATAAACACATTGGTTTGAAGGGCAAATAGTTTGTACAGTTTACAGCACTTTGTTATTCTTCTAGTTATTTAGCAGCTAATGAATTGCAAGTCACACATTCACTGAAAATAGCATACGTCCACAAAATGAGGTAGATATCACCCATCCCTACTGAGGACTACAGTGGTTGGCGAGTAATACCTCCATGCTTTCTTCTGCAATGGCATCTCCAGCTCCCAGCTTGACGGACGCACAGTTTTCCTCATCTTCCGCTTGCCTGCTGCGGAACGTTAGCGCCTGTTCCCAGCGCCGCAGGGCCTCCTCGAACAACTCCATTCCTGCAGGTGAAACATCAATTCAACATGTGGAACTTTCTGCAGATGAATGCACACATCAGATTTCGAATGACATTTATGATTGTGAACATACATGATTCCGCTCTTTCAAGATCAATATCAAATGTTTGTACACAAATGATGCTTAAAATTGAACACAATGCTTTCCAGATAACAAGCAACTTCTGGGCTCGCATGTGTCATATGAGACTTAAGACAGAAGTTTTTCTATATAAGATATAATATAAGATACTCTATAATGCTGTCAAACGATTAATCGCTATTAATCACATCCAAAATAAAAGGTTTTGTTTACATAATATATGTGTGCTTACTGTGTATTTTGTGTATGTATATATAAATACACACACATGCACGTATACATTTAAGTAAAATGGTGTTTACATATTAAATATATTTATATATAATATAAATTATATGAATATAAATATATACATGTAAATATTTTCAAAATATATACTGTATGTGTGTGTATTTATATATACATAATTAATATACACAGTACACAGAAATATATTATGTAAAGAAAACTTACTTTGGATGAGATTAATCGCGATTAATCGTTTGACATTAACGACACAGAGCCGTTGTTCACTGACGAGCTGCGCAAAAAATCACGCAAATGTGAACGTGGTTCAGCCCTACTTCTATATAGTCCTCATTTGTAAGTCGCTTTGGATAGAAGCCTCTGCTAAATGACTAAATGTAATGCAAATGTAAATGTAAGCTGAGTTTTTACCCATCAGGTAGAGGTTCTCTGGAGTCGTGACGGGGATGTTGAGCACGTTACAGACGTCATTGTCATCTCCTGCTCCGTCCCAGCAACTGGAGCCATTAGCACAGGTGGAGCTACCGGAGGAGTGCCTGCTCCTCACCTGAGAAAAGATTTCAACATCTCAGTTTTGCAGTAAAGCACACATTTGACAAGACTGCTGAAGTCACAGATATAATATACAACTATCTAAAGATGTTGACAATAAAACAAGTTGCTTACGGAGGCCAGGCTCAGCAGGGAGCCCGAAAGCTTGCTGTACAGGCTACCACTGGACACCACATTACACGAGTAGCAGTTCTTTGAGTTAAGAGGGAGATTCTGACACTCCGTCTCTGGGAGAAAAACAAAATACAGCCACTGTACCATTACATAACGTTAGTTTTTTTTATTTAGTTTTATTTCTGGATGAATAAAAGTATCGATTTCTTTTAAAATAATATTACTGACCCCAAACGTTTGAATACTGTAGTAGTACACGCTATACATTTTCTCATACAATTATTTCAACTGTAACAATACTCCTTGTTGATTAAAGGTGATTTGCGATCTGTTTTTACCTTTTTTCAATGGGACAGTGTTGAGGAACTCGAACGTTTCCTGCTCTACAGGCGAACTGGCTTTTTTCTTGCCCTTCCTCCTCCTGAGGCGCCGGGCGAGGTAGATAAGGGAGACCGCGCCGAAGGCAGTTGCGACAAAGAGCTTCTTGGTGCCGGTGCTCAGACTCACCTGCTCAGTGAGGGAATGGAGAAACATAGGGCAACGTTTAACTTTGGATCAAGCGCTCCACTCAAGGCCCAGAGATCAGAGTGAGAACTGCAGATAGGGAGAGGGTGAGACAGTCAGACAGGGTGACAGCAGGGATTACATGACTGGAATTGACAGCCTGGCATTTAACTGGGCGTACGGTGATTGGCTTGAGCGATCTGATCTACTGCGCAAGTTTAAGCTAATCACAGGCACAACATTTATGAGAAGACACATAATACTATCCACTAGTGTCTGTGTGAATGACCTAGACATTGTTAAAGAGCAACGCTTTCCTCAATTCATGTCCTCCATTAAAAAACCAAGAGGAACTCTCAAAATGACACCATGTAAGACACGTAACACTGCCTATTATTAGCAAACAACGTCGTCTTATTTATCCTAGCTGCTACATGAAGCACAGCTACCCATGCCACAGCTTTTCCTACTTTGGCACTTCAGGAAATATGTCACCGAATAATGAAACTGTGAGTGAGATTAGAAAGCCATGGCAGAGGACGGGAGAAGACTTTCAGCAAATTATTCAAACTGAAATGTGGGTCTTTTCGACACATAAGCCAACACATTGCTTTAGAAGACTTCATATATAGCATCTGACTGGAATATAGCAGCAGTACTTGCATGTTTTTTTTTTTGTTGTTGTCTTTTTTAGAGCTTGACCATTTCTGGTTGGTGTCTTCCTTTGATATACAGGTACAAAAGCTTTTGTGTTTCACAGTAGAAAGCCATACCAAAAAGGAATGGAAAACAATCTCTTTGAAGGAATCAGTTTTAAGACTTAAGCTTGCAGGTGAGAATAGCAATGCTGGCAATGCCACCTGTGCTCTGTTAATACCCATCTTATCCATGGCAGTGAGCTCAGTGCATGCAACACACATATCCCAGCATTCAAAGATCAATCAGACACAGCTGTGAAATCCATAAAACATGACTAAATGGCTCAAAATGGAGATCAAAACAATGGTAAGCTGGTGAAAAGCCAAATATAAACTCATAAGCAAAAACTAGGTTGTGGATTTTCACATGTATTACTAATAAAAAAAGTAAAAAAAAAACAAACAAAAGAAATTAAATAATTCATACATTCATACATTATTCATGCATTTTTACAACTTTAAAAAAGCTAAAAATGTATCTGTATATCTATCTTTAACATTGAGGTCTACAGAGACTTAAAGGGTAAGTTCACCCAAAAATGAAAATTAGCTTGTGTTTTACTCACCCTCGAAGCATCCTAGGTGTATATGACTTTCTTCTATCAGTATCACTTATCACGCAACGCTGACGTCCTACGTCATCCACCGGAGCCGTGTGAGGCACGTTTTATTATGGATGCGCGCGCTTTATTTGACGACTTGTGGACTGTTCAACTGCAACACCCGCTGACTGCAATGATAGAGCTTGGAATAGCCAGGACAATTTTTTATATAACTCCGACTGGATTCGTCTGAAAGAAGAAAGTCATATACACCTAAAATGCCTCGAGGGTGAGTAAAACACAGGCTAACTAACCCTTTAAGTCGGTCGCACATTGGACGAGCAGCGCTGCGCTGTGTCTAGAACAATTCGTACAACACAACGTAGCTGGGCGCCGTGGACAGACGCCGAACGGCACCGCCGGTGTGAGAATTTTAAAGACGTGACGTGACGCTGCGCTTCTCGTCCGGTGTGCGACCCTCTTTACTTTCAAATGCCACCAAACAACCATGACATACAGGAAAAGGGATAATAGACAAAATGTGGTAAATTCATGCACAGACACAGGGAACAACCCAGGATGTATATAAAAAGCTTTGCCTAATATAAAATATAACCTATATAAAAGTGGTAACACTTTAAAATAACTTTCATTAATAATAACATTAAGGCAAAAGTGTGTACATGTGGCACCATCAATCAGAACTTCAAAAATAATGTTTCTCGAACACTACCCCTGTCTGGACAAACAGGTATGTCTGCCACAAAATCGCTCCAACAGCTGAGCCAATGTTAATGTGTCAAGCTGGTTAACATGCTTAAACAATGCACTTAGTGTTGATAGTACCAAGCACCACAGTGTTTACACTTTTTGGGAAATCTACCTACAAATGGCTTACCTACAATTTACAGTACCTGCACATCATGTTTAAAACATGAACAAACTTTATAATCTATATCATTAATGCACCACAAAAGTCCACACAATCCTATGCATATATATATATATATATATATATGTGTGTGTGTGTGTGTGTGTGTGTGTACGTACAGTAATGGGTAGATTACTTACAAACTGTAATATGTTGTAATCTGATATAAAAATAAATAAATAATATACATTTCAAATATATTCCATTCATTGTTTTAACAACATGAAGTGCATTAAACATTATGTCAAAGTTTCCCAAACTGGGGTTTGTGAAGGAACTGCAGGGGGTTTGTGAGTTTAATGAAAAGCTAATAATTAATTAAATCATAAAAATGTTACATTACATAAAATATTTTTTTAAATTACAACAATCAAAATAAAACACTTAATAAAAAATATGAAATATTATACCTGTGTACCTGCACATCGTGTGACCATGTGAATAATGTGTAATCATGTAATCAATTTTAAAAAATGTAGGCCTAACTGTAGTCTGATTATGAGTAGGCCTGTCGCAATAATCAATATATCGACTTATCGCGCAATACATGTACATAACCGCAATAATTTTTGGTGACGCAATATATCGCCCATTATATTTACTTAAAAATTAATGTCACCATGTTTTGTACATTCCACTTGCGCATGTGTCTTTTGCAGCTTCTCGTACATAACGTGATGTAGTCATGAGGTGCTAGTTCAAATTTTAAAAATGCTTCTACAAAATAGTTT